GCAGTATCAGTGTGTGACTCAGCTTTAATTAGTTATATGTGCATGGAGATCTTGAAGCAACTAGAAATAAATGGCCTCCCAAGTCAACTTTATTTGCAGTCTTTGCGGACGGAGAATTATCCAAGAGACATTGTTGTGACGCGATGGCTCCTGAGCTTCTTCAATGAGCTTGCTTCCAGCGAGGGTTTATTTACGTTTAATAAAATGGCTGCTTGAGAAATTAGTCTCTAATGGAAGATTAAGATCTCGTCTTCACGCATGGTTAGAGATAGAGAAAGTAGTTACTGTGAGAAGTAAATATCATGCATGGTTCATTATACTACAGGCTTCCTCTTCGCTGCAAAAGTGCAGTGAGTCTTTTTCTCACATTTGACCTCGCTACATTCATTTATGCGTTTCTTTGTTTCACGCGTGATTTTTAAGCCGATTCGTAGCAATTAGATGATTTTGAGTTCCCTCGCCATATCATACTTCTCCCGAAAAAGGGGGGCTCTGTTATTCACAAGAAGGTAAATTATGGCGGCGGTTTATCGGTTCTGTTTCGTTGTAATCAAGATCTATAGTCCTTACATTTCAGTATTAAAGTGTGATTCAGCTTGAACTAGTTATAAGTACATGAAAATCTCAGAGCAACAACAGATTAGATATAGGGCCACCGGTTTCTGAAAACAAGGAATGACACAAGAGACAGTGTGTGATTTACTTGGATGTAACTGAATAAGTGGCCCTGCATTCTATAGTTTTGTTCTAGTTTACACTACAAAACAACTTTTTTACCTTTGTTTCTGATTATTCTTTGCTATTTGTTAGAACTCTTAATAATAGCTTATGGAAATTGATTGTTGCGAGGTGCAGAACTATGGTTTCTCGACATAACATTCTTCGATGAACTACAGATTGGAAACTGAAGGGCCGTCGAGGTCCACCCTATCTGCAATCTTTGAGAACGAGGAATGGCACAACAGACAGTGGTGTTTCATAAAAATGTAAATAAGTGGCCCAGCAACCTACAGTTTTATTCTAGTTTGTATTGCAAGATATCTTTTTTACCTTTCTCAAAAAACTCTTAATTAAACTCTTAATAAAAGCTCGTAGTAATTGGATGTAACGAGCTCCAGAACAAGAATTTCTCAACATTTTATTGAATGTACCTAGATTATTCCGGCAGTACGGGTCTTGATTCCCAAATTTTTGTGTTCCTATTATTACAACTACGCCAAAGTATGGTTGATTTATTCAAAGGAAGAGAAAAGAAAGGTTGATAAAAGAGATGACTCCTTGTTCATTTGCTGATTTTATATGATAGATGACATTAGTTAGCACAAGCTCGTGGTAATTGGATGTAACAAACTGCACAGCAGGCATTTTTCAACATTTTCCTGTTTGTACCCGGATTCTTCACGAGTCCGCCTGTTGATACCCAAATCATAACTATAAAATGACGCCAGCGGCGGCGGTTTCTTGTATTTAAAAGGCACAGGTTTTCCCGGCCTCTCATTTATCTTTCAGCACACCCGACAAATTCCAAAAGATCAATATATAAATCATTGAGACCTCCTTGTCAGGTCCAAGTGCATATAAAATACGGTTTATTCTGCTCTAGTGCAACTCCTTGTAGTGTCTTAGATTTGTCCGAGGTATTCTCTATTAAAGGTCGTAAGGTTAGGCGTCTTATGAGGAATAGTGGTACCCCAACCACGAAAAACATTCTCCTGTCGTTGCAGTTTGTTTTAGTGTATTTCACGGCTTTCTCCCATGCAGGAGATAAGGTCCAAGGGGACTGCAAAACGACATGTTTTCTTCTGCAAAATCCTCCCGCCAATCGACCAATATTGTTTCCAAATAAGGTTTGTAACCTCGCTTATTCAGGTATATACGCTATGTGTGAGGGCACAGAATGTATAGCTTACTGATAAAAATAGGTCCGCAATGCGTACATGTTAGGCTTACGAAATTGAGCTGCTCTTTAGTGTCTGGTGTCTTATTGAGTTTCTGTTAGAAGAGCTAATATCTGATTACGGTTAAACAGTTTTCAATATTGTTCGTGTTCATCGATAAAATAAGATAACTGGCATACAGTAGTCTCAAAATGTTCATTTTCAAGGTGAGGGTTAAAGGCCAAACTTTGTTATTGAGGTCTCATTTTGACAACAAAGGTTGCACATGTAACTTGAGGATTGTAGGAACTAGAAAAAGCGTCAGCATCATCTCCCATAGTGGCCTAATAGATTTGGTCATGATTTTGTTTACATAACTAAGTGGAATAGAGTTCTGATATTTTTTGGTGGTGTTTTCCAAGGCAAGTGATGTGAAATTAACTCTAGGGAAGCATTTCATATGAATATTTTTGGCATTTTGTGTACCAGTACACGAGGACAGAACTTTCCAGAAGGGCCGAAACATTCGGGAAATGATGAAACCTACACTAGAAGCCATTGGGAACTTGATTTGGTTTGAAAGTACCACTAATTTTGGACAATACATACATGTAAAGTTACACAATGCTGAGTGTAGGTTTCTATTATTCATTAGGGCACAAAGTTCTATTTTCAATTTGTTGAAAGCAAAATGTTTACTCTAATTATTGTAGTTGGGTTTTGAGGGACTGTGTTTTCAATAAAGAACACAGAAAAATTTAGTTGAGGTAGGTGGAAATGGGGATACAAATGGGAGAATCTATGGAAAAAAGATTGGTGCATAAGAAGATCAGAACACAAACAATATTTTAATGAATCATATGTTAGGTAGTACTCTGAAGTAACATTACATTAAAACTGCTAATAATTTTTAACCCAATAAGATTCACAATTTGACCTATAGGTTTCATTTAACAGAAAGTGTAAGAGAGTTAAGTGTCACCATTATAGATTTCAGGAAAGTAATCAGAGACATAACTTAAACACAACAGAGTTCAATGTACAGGCAAGTGCATGATGGTATCATATGATTTAAAGTACCAGAATCGTTCAAGTTTTCTTATTATTGATATTGTTATTTCATGCCAGTGTGTTTCCCAAATTCAAACTATGTGGAGACATGAAATGAAAAGGTGAACTTGACATCATCATGTAAATGGTCAACTTGACATGCTATCAAAATTTGTCCTTCAGCTGAAATCTTACTCAGCAATGAAATTTTGTCAGTGTCTGTCAATGTACCTAAAAACAATTGAAGCTTCTGTTTATTTTGGTCAGCTACTATGTATATCAATCAGCACAACCTACTTTATGTAAATCTGATTGGTTTCTAGTGTGATCTATTGTTGCTGAGTCTACCAGTGGTTTACATTTGTACTTGAGTAATTACTTTTGCACTAGTGATACATGAAAAGGACACCTTGCTGTTTTCAGCCAATCAAGAGCGTAATTTTTCATGTATATCAGTGTTGCGATAAATTAACCAAAACCAAACAAGTAACTGAAAAGGAGTTGTCGTCTGCCAAATAAAGGCCTAATACACATGTATTGTCACCAAGTTTAAATATCAATGCTGATCTGAACCATTATAAAGAGAATTTAGAAGACTGCCAAACTTACAGGAAGTCAAGAAATGTTAAGGTCTGAATAATTCTAGGTATTACTGGGAAAACATATAAATAATAATCACATTTCAGTCGTAACATTAAACTACTTATAGGCTGCAAAAGTGCAAACGGTTTCTATCCATGCTAAAGTATTTGTGTAGCTACCTCCCCTATGCAAATTAGTTGTAACTCTTGAACTCGCATTTAATTTTATTTTCATTTGTACCCTTGATAATGGCGTCATGAAGTCGCCGAAACGTCGGGATATTATATCATTCGTTTAAACCCAAATATATCACCAAAATGTCAGCTGATGTCATTTGAAGGTTCATGCAGGGAAGTATGAGTGGGAAATCTCTATCACAGATCCACCTTTATGATATATAAAACAGCAAGGGATTACTAGATTTCAAATTGCTCTAGCAGGGAATACACCAAACCCATTACTAAAGATATGGCATGAAAATGTTTAGGAGGGATGTGATTATATTTATTTTCTCATTTCCACATTTCTAGATCATGGTTTAGAGTTACATGCAGTCGAGTGACAGGCTACTGTGTCCAAGGAAGGCTAGAAAGAGAAGCGGGAGTCATGGCAAGCAAATAAAGATAAACTAAAGGAAGAAAGCACATCTAATTTCAAATAAAAAAATAATTTGGTATTGTCGATAACAGGTATGTTGCATTATGTCTTAACTTCATCCAGATATAAAGACAGTCAGGTTTGGATCCAGGGTAGTTTACGTGAGTTCCAGAACTCACTCAAAATTTTCAAAAACACTCTGATCTCCCTTTAGAAACTACTGATCCGTTTCTGGAGATGACTTGACTTTCCTGAAAACTGGACTTTATACTGTCATAGTGAACACACATCAGTGACACAGGTTTGCATAGCAGCTGATGCTAGTAGATCAGAGTGTTTCATGTAGTACTTTAAAAGTCTTTTTGCCTTTTTGGTACATGCTATAATTTGCTCTCTATAGTGCAATTAAATTATCTGAAAATGCAGGAAATGGCATTTAGAGAGCTTGAAATTTCAAATTTTCTCGGGGGGGGGGGGGGCATGTCCCCGAACCCCCCTAGTGGGAGTGTCTCCCCGGGTGGAAACTACTCACTTCAAAACCTGGATCCACCCCTGAAACTGTATATCCTTCTTTACATATATCTCTGTCAACCAAATATCAAAGCTTGATGTTGAAAAAATTATTAATTAGCTAAAAATTAGGTGGGTTAATATTTGTTACTACATGCTTTAGTATTAATTTTGAAAGATACCATCTCAAGGAGCATTTTTGGTGCTTCAATAAGTTTCCCTGCTTGCACAATGAAATGCTTTGGTGAGTTTCCAAGGTAAACTTTTATCTTTAAAGAATTGAATTGAATCTTTATTAAGTCATAAGATAAATAATCACATATCCTATGTTACAACATTAAAAGAAGGTATATATATAAGTTACAGAGAAAATCAAGATAAAAATTATAAGACTAGATTATGTTTAAAAATTAAGCGATTAACAAACGTGTTTTTGAACCTATCAGTGTTTATTTTAGGATGGTGACTTGTCTCTTTCCTCAGATTGTACTTGGTTGATTTCTTTTTTGGCATTATAGCTCTTAAAGGGTGTATTGTGTTATTAAAAACATTCTTGAAGATACGTGTGTCCTGTTGAACTAACAATTCATAAACATTAATGTGGTCGGATGTATACTTGCGCTTATAACATCGATCTAAGAAACATTGGATTGTTGTTAATTCGGAATTTACAGCGCCAAATACGGACAGCCCGTATAATATATTTGGTAGAACCAGATTTAGAAACAGATGGTCTATTTCGGCCTGATTGTACCCTTCTTTCCTTAAAGATCTTAAAATGAACAGGCACTTGTTTGCTTTGATTAGTTTTTCCCGAATATGTGTTATGAACCTACTGTCTTCCTGAAATGTTACCCCTAAAATAGTAAGCTCTTTTGTCTGTGGTATTCCAGACACCATCGGAAACTCTATTGTACAACCTTTCTTGCGGAAAATGATTTCCTTGCACTTAGATGGATTGCTACACATACCATTACTTCTAGACCACTGGGAAAACTGATTAATCAGTGCGATAGAATTGTCATTATCACCTATCACAGGCGAGATAATGGTTGTATCATCTGCATATTTTACCAGCACGCTCTTATTGTCCAAGTGTATCTCTAAATCACTGAGAAAGACATTGAACAAGTGCGGCCCGCTGACACTTCCTTGGGTGGTACCTTTGTTGACACTTTAAGTTTAACTTTAAAGAGAAATCAACAGCCTTTTCCTGGCTATGAGCATCCAAAATATACCACCAATAATAAGATAGGGACAACTTGTTAAAATCCTCTATGCTGAGCATGGTGTATTTAGAGTCCCTTGATAATATTCCTTTGTTATTAAAAAAATATCGATAAACATCATGTCTTATACTAAATATGCAGGTGTGCTGCACTTTGACAGCTTTTGATTTTAAAAGTGACTTGAATGCCAGTTTAAAATCGTGTTCCTGTCAGTGTGCTAAATTAAAAGGAATAGAAAGAAAAGAGGTTGAGGAAAGAAATGACTCCTTGTTTAGGCCCATTTCCTCCACTGATTTTATCGTTGCAATGCGCCATTTTGTTTCAAGTATCTGTTTCATGTAGCAATATCAAATGTGCTTAAAATGAGACGTACAAGCGTGTACGAGAAACCTCGAATGATTTGTCTACGGTGTGGGTTTTGATTCGATTTATAGCAATGTAGTTACATTTCAGTTTATTCGCTTTTCGTTTAAGTGTGTTTTCCCAAAACAAATGAGCTACGTAAATAGCTTGGTGTAATTTGCGAAACGAAACGAAACCCAACGAAATAAAAATCAGTAATTTGCGAAATAGAAATCTGTTAATATTTCCTAAGTGGAATCTTTAATTTGCAAAATAGAAATCTTTTAATGATTTGTGACATAGAAATCTGTAATTTGCGAAATAGGAATCCGTAAATTTGCGAAATAGAAATCGGTTAATGATTTGCAAAATAAATTGAAATCTGTAATTCTCCAATTTCCTAAACGAGAATCTCAGCGGAAGATTTCACAGGCTGGGAGAATGAATCGGTCAGTTCACTACAAGGGCGGATTGCAAAAGCAGCCCAACAAATCATAATTACAATAACTAGCGAAAGCGTAGTACATAATACAGTGTAAACAGTGTACGATGTCGATGAATAATTTGAATGCGTGACATGACATTTTCCCGACCGAGAATTCACGTAGAAAATGTCGCACCATAATGTTTCTAGATAAAATATCACGTTTGTTGGGGAAATGGAATGACCCGAACTCTTTGATTTCCTTGGGGTTCAGGTATGTTAACGATTTTTTTACAGATGCTGTTTCGCGAATTGCAGATTTTCATTTCGTCGTTCCGTTTCGTTCCTCAAATTACAGTGAGCCCCGTATATCACATGTACTGTCTTGTTGTACTGTGTTAAGACCAGGAGCGCCTAAATTTCATTATTAGAGTGTGACTTAGCTTGAACTGGTGCATAAGTGCATGAAATGCTCGGATAAACTACAATTTTTTTCCTTTCCCAGAAAACTCATAAGAAAAGTTCGTGGTACTTGGATGTAATGAGCTGCAGAACAAGGATTTTCTCGACATTTGCTTGAATGTATGTACCTATTCACGAGTCAGCTGATTCCCAAATTTTCAAGTTTCTATCATTTAGCCAAAGGCTAGTGGATTTATCGAAAGAATTACAAAGAAAAAAGGTTGATAAAAGAGATGACGGATATTTCAACCGGCACGAGCAACCTGAATAAGACTAAGTCTCTGGTAAAAAAATTAAGATTTCAACCTCGGACATGGGTAGAGATAAACAAAGGTAAGTGAGAAGAAATAGGGACCTCAAGCAAACCACGACGGCGACGGCAACGAGAACTTGGAAAAATAAAAGATCTAATTAGCAGAACAATAGCTCAGCACGTGCATTTTAAAACTTAGTACATTTCTCAGCCGTCCTTTGCAAAACGATAACGTGAAATCAGCAAAATTTGCGTCGTCTGCGAAACGAAACCGCAACGGCAAATTATTTCAATTTCCATTTGTAACTCAACACTATTTTTAGACGTTATGTTGAGGTTGAGTTGTGGCGCCGTATGAAATGGAAAACGCATGCAGCCATATTCGAAATTCTAATTAAAAGTTGAAATTCATTTTTTAATCGGCGTCTTCCTTGGCGTTGCCGTCCTGACTGCTTAAGGTCCCTGATATCATGGTTCTACTGCAAGCTTGGCGTTCACCACAAAAGTAGAGACTTCTTCTCTAGTCTCGCTTTAGTTGTGCGTTTCTTTGTTTTCGGAGTGGTTTTTAAGCAGATTCAGTTGCTATCCATTTTATTGGTTCTTGCCTCCTTTGTCTTTCTGTATATGAGGGTTTCCCAAGAATAAGAACTTCGTAAATAACGAGAAGGTAAATCGTTAATATCGGTTTAGTATCGCTACACTTTTGTTGTTGCTAGGATTAGTAGCAATTAAATTTTGGTAATAGTGTGTGACTTGGCTTGAACTAGTTAAAAGTGCATGGAAATCTCGGATGAGCTACCGATTGATTAGTGTCACTGAGGTCCACATTCTCAGCTATCTTTGAGAAAGAAAGCTAAGCTATCTTTGAGAAAGAACGACACAAGAGACAGTAGTGTGTTTCATAATAATATAAATATGTGGCCTTGCATTTTATAGCTTTATATTAGTTTTGTATTGCAAGACATCTTTTTACCTTCCTCGAAAAACTCGTAGGAAAAGCTTGTGGTAATCCTTGACATTTGTTTGAAGGTATCTTAATTATTTATAATTGTGCTGATTCCCAAGTTTTTGTGTTCCTATCATTACGTTTAAGTCTAGTTTAATTTATTAAAAGGAATAAAATAAAAAAAGGTTGATTAAAGAGATTACTTCTTGTTGAAACCACTTGCCGATTTCGCATCAGTGATAGTTAACACCAGCGCCTTATGTTAAAGAACCATAATGCATCGTTGCAATGCGCCATTTTGTTTGCAGTGTGTCCGTCTCTTGTAGCATCATAATTTTAGGACGTGCTTTAAACAAGATATTTCAACGCGCACGAGCAACCAAAATGTGTATAGGTCTCTGCTAGAAAATTAAGATTTCAACCTCGTACATAAGTAGAGATAAAGTCGAAGATATTAAATGTATTCTTTCATTGCAGTTTTTCTCAGCTCTTTGTCGCGTAACTTGATTCAATGTGGGTGCAGACATTGGGAGAATTAGCTGAGATACCAGCTGTTGGCAGAAACTACCACACAGACGTATTTAGAAGTCAGAATGTAGTACACGTCTTGGTGGAAATGACCAATGCCCCTAACGCGATGAGGGAGCTAAAAAAACTCAAAACAAATCGGAATTATGTATCGTACCTCATAATACACACCGTGTACCAGGGTAATAAACTGTTTTATCTTGATTTCTTATGGGATTTGAGAGATTGAGGGTACTGTGTGCCATTGACTCCTGAATTTCCTCATTGAGGTCGCTTTCAACAAGGCTCTATTCATGTTTGTGATATTTCTCGCTTGAAAAAATGTTAATTGCATCGTCATCAGTGTCTGAACACAAATCAATTTAGGTAAGGTTGCTATGTTAATTTTGGCTAAAGAAACCCTAATCCAAGATGCGTAAACTTACATCAGAATGCATCTGTGCGCGTTCGAGCTAATAGTAAGTTGTGGAGTTTGTTTTTTCTTGCAGAGGTTCAGCGTGCACAAGGAACCTGAGTGAGAAATAATCATAAAAAATCAAATCGAGAACTCGACCTCGTGCATGTGTATAGGCATAGAAAGTGTCTTAAAATGACTAAGAAAATATCCTGGATAAACCAGAGGCAAAGCGTTTACCTCCTAGCTTCTTTAATAAGCTTGTTTTCAAGAAGCCGGGATATATTTACGTTTAAGATCAGTAGTAGTCACTTGTTGAGGTGATTTCAGTAGCACTTGAATTTCAGTATGAAAGTGTAGCTCAAACTAGTTATAAGTGCATAAAATTCTCGGATGAGCTGAGAGTGAATAAAGGGCCACCATCGAGGTTCAAACTATCTTCAATCTTTGAAAGCAAAGGATGACATAAGAGACACTGGTGTGTTCCATAAAGATGTAAGTAAGTGGCCCTGCTTTCTATAGTTTTATTCTAGTTTGCATCACAAGACATCTTCTTTACTTTTCTTGAAAAACTCTTGATAAAAGCTCGTGGTAATTGGATGGAACGAGCTGCAGAATAAGGATTTCTTGACATTTGCTTTAATGTACTTAGATAATTCAAGAGTCTGCTGACTCCCAAATTCTCGTTTTCCTCAATCATTACGCCAAAAGTCTGGTTGATTTATTGAAAGGAACAAAAAGAAAAAAGCTTGGTAAAAGGGATGACTCCTGCTTTAAACCTATCTCATCCGCCGATTTTGCAAGATAATAGATACCAGTGCCTTATGTCTAAAAAACCATATTGCATCGTTTTTATGCACCATTTTGTTTGCAGTGTGTCCGTTTGATGTAGCATTTTAAGACGTGCTCAAAACAAGATCTTTCAACCCGCACGAGCAACCTGAATAAGAATAAGTGTCTGGTAGTAGTTTAAGATTTCAACCTCGTGCATCTAGAGACAAAGAAAGACGAGTGAGAAGAAGTAAATATCATGGTTCTGCTGCAGGCTTAGTGTTCACCGCAAAAGTACAGTCTTCTTCTCTAGTTTCGCTCCTTTGTTTTCGGATTGGTTTTTAAATCGAATGCTATCCATTTCATAGGTGTTTAGCTCTTCTGTCTTTCTATATATATATGTTTTTCCCAAAAAATGAGGACTCTGTATTTAACGAGAAGGTAAGTTAAAATATTAATTTATAAGAGTGTTTCCTTGAAGTTAAGACCAGTAGCACTGAGAATTTAGAATAAGAGTGTGACTTCGCCTCACCAAGTTATTGGTGTATAAATTTCTGGGATGAACTACAGATTGAATACAGTGCCATCAAGGTCCATAATATCTGCAATCTTTCAGAAACGAGGGATGACACAAGAGACAATAGAGTGGTTTAAGGGTTTCTCGAAATTAAGTTTTCGGATGAGCTAAAGATTGAACAAAGGGCCATCGAAGTCCATATTATCTGCAGTCTTTGAGAACGAGGGATGACAGAAGAGAAAGTGGTGTGATTCAAGGATTTCTCGACAAAAAGTTCTCGGATAAACCACATATTGTAAAAAGGGCCA